CCTAAAAATTTTGAGGAAATCCAGTTTTTTAACTCAAATAATTACTACCTTGGTCTTGATTGGTGAGAATATGTTCTTATATCTTCGTAAATGTTTGCTTTTTTTTTTTTTTTTTGCACAAATGTGCACAAATTTATTTGAGACTAGTTAATCTGCGTAACAAACAAGTTTCAAATTTAAAAATTATATTTAGTTGTTTCAACTTAGCCACAAATAAAATGAAAAATCAAAGTAATAACTGAAAGCTTATGGTAAAGAAATGGTTTTAGTTTAGAAAGTTGGGCTGACTTTCCTTAAGTTTGGGCTAAAATCTTAGCACTGAAAATTGTTGTATAAACTTTTTAACATGTAATTACTCCTTAATTTAACACTTTTGTTTTATAATATAGGTATATGGAATTTTTTCCTCAACCTGAGAAGCCCAATACAACATTATTATTTGAAAAGAGTGCAAATTACTTTGATAGTGAGGTTGTTCCTAAGCGGGTAGCTGCACTCGTCCCTAGAGCTAAAATTATTGTAATACTTATGAACCCATCTAAACGAGCTTATTCCTGGTATCAGGTACAGTTTTTTTTCATATTTTGTAATAAATATTCTTAGTAATAATAAAACAATTATTGATTTTATTAATTTACCTGTAACATTTCAATTAAATCTCTTAAAAACAATGGAGCCCTGCTTTAATTTGAACAGGAATCATTATAAAAATACTTTGATTGTGAATGACCTACTAAATTTTCTAATTTCAATTTTCTTTTTTCCACAGCACATGAGGAGTCACAATGATCCAACTGCTTTAAACCACACATTTTATGAAGTTGTTAGTGCATCTGATATGGCTTCTCAAAACTTGCGGACACTTAGAAATCGTTGTCTTACTCCAGGCTTATATGCTCAACACTTAGTCAGATGGTTAGATTTCTTCCCTGCTGAACAAGTAATTATTTTTTTGTATTAGTCTAAAAAACTAACATCAGTTTCTATCCTAATTTCCTTTTTCTGATTATATGTCATAAAATTTTATGTTTTATATGTTAATTCTACTAATGTACTATCAATGTTGGCTAATATAAATTAAGGATATTTTCTATGCAGTTTACAAAATGAATACTAAATGGTTTTTGAAAAAAGATTTATTACACAGAAAAAATTTTGGTTTTGAAGGTTAACTGCGCATTTGAAAAGAAACAGAAAATGTTCTCAAATTTTAATTAAAAATGTAAGAGTCATCCTATTTTTCCTCAGCTTCACATAGTGCACAGCGATGAATTGCGCAATGATCCTGTCAACGTCATGCACCTTGTACAAAAATTTTTACACATCCTACCATACTTGGATTACAGCCAACATCTTCGGTCAGTGTTGCTCTTAGTTTTTATCTTTCATTTCAGTGTTACTGTACACATGTTTAATAGCTAAAGTTGGTAGTTTTTTTATCTCCACTTTCACTGTTACTTTTTACATGTTTAACTATTTTCATTTTTCTTTTATAAATCAGATATTATTAAAAAAATTCAAGTTAGTTTTTTCTTCTTCTCTTTTTATCAGTAAACCAAAACAATTAATGACACAGTTTAATATAAAAAATTATGCATTATTTTTCTCAAAACTTCAAAGTGTTAAACTTATATTTTTAAAAAGAAAATCTATGAAGCCTCATGTATTTCCCTACAAATTGATATATAATATCACAAGCTTTAGACATAGATTCTACAATTAATTTACTATTTTGTAAGGTCACTAAATACATTCTACAAGTAATTTAGTCTTTAGTAAGGTCACTACTACTTACTTCTACTACTTACTTAAGAAAATCAGTGAACACCGAGCCGGGGCTCATATGGTCCCCCCAACGCACCACCCCGCCAACCAAACCGGCCATCAACCACTCCCCCAGTGGTCTTTATTCCGATCGGGCCGCGAAGCGGCACGCCAGGGACGTTCCGCCCCTAAGACCGCCACACCCGACCTCCACTCGACTGGCCGCTGAGTGTGGCAGCTCCAGAGAAGAAACACCTAGGGGTTTGGAGTGGATATATTTAACGTCTCTTAAGTCCCCCCTTCCCACTCCGGGGGGACGCGAAGTTGTTTGAACCGACGCCCTATAATAGGGTTTGTATGGTTATTCTATGGCGCGACTAATTCGCACCGTAGATGGGAGAGAGAGGTTGCCTAGGAGCAGTACCCTCAATACTGTAAGGTCACTAGAAATCTGAAGAAAAAATGAAAAAAATTATGGAATGTAAAGAGTTAAGTAACAGCTCAAATGAAAATTAATTACCCTAAAATTTAGGTTTAAAGTTTTTTTTTTGAAAAAAATGTAGCTCTGTCTATAGTCTGTTCACTGCTTAATAAACATTTCAGCTTTGACAACCTCTTTAAAAAATCATGTTGTTCTTCTGACACAAAAATGGTATTAAAAGTTTGTATATATTTTCAGTTTAGATGTATTAGCTTGCACCAAGTTTTTTTTATTATGATGATCTATTTTTCCATAATATAGCTTTGGACACCCTCTTAGCTTATACTTTTGCAATAATTCTTTAGTAAGCTCCTTTGAATTTAATGCAGTAACATTTTTTTTCTCTCTTACCTTTAGCTATGATCCAACAAAAGGTTTTTTCTGTCAAGTTTTGAGCAACAAACAGAACAAGTGTTTAGGAAAGAGCAAAGGTCACAAATATCCCTCTATGGACAGAGTGTCAGAGCAGCACTTGCGAGCCTATTATAGAAAACACAATGTCATTTTGTCTAAACTACTTTCTAGTTTTAAATCAGAAATACCAGAGTGGCTCCAAAATGAACTCAAAGATGCAGAAGTTTCAAAGATTTAGCAGTGGTACTGTTATTAGATCACACCTGCCCATGCTCTTTCATGTTGGACTTCCAGCACTTAATGAATTAACAAAGTTTAACAGATCTGACTACAATAAAGGATATTATTATTTTCAGCCAAGAATATGAGGACTTTTTGTGTTTAGAACAGAGATAGTTGAGTATTAGATTTAGGGGTGTGCCGGATCCGTTTTTTCCAACCGGATCTGGATCCGGATTTTCTTATGCGAAATCCGCCGGATTCGGATCCGGATTCCGGAATAATCCGGATTTCGGTTTCTCCCGGATTCCGGATTTTGGTACTATTGGTAGATACTTCGGTAAGTCAAGGTGGACTACTACTTTTTGTGTATGGGAATTCGCAATCGGCGCCAAAAAATCCGAGTTTTTAATTTTCCGATGTGTGTGTCTATTTATTATTAAATTAGTACTTTCGATATATATTTGAGTTCCGTTCCATTTGGATAAGTGTCTTACGAGAGACGCCATGTTTCTACGCGTTCGCAGCAGGTTATGCAGCTCGCTCAACCTAATTTCGCCATGGGGTTGGCCACGCCCCCCTTTTTAATGGCGGAAGTTGACGATACTTAGGAAATATTAATTTATTATCACTATTTACATCAAAATAATTGATAACTTGTGTTTCAGAATGCATTTAAAGACATTTAAACTGGAATGTTTTAATTTGAGCTTTAACAACCCGGTAGAATCCATATTATAAATGATCAGAATTTACCGTGTGCAACACGTTGTCATTGGCAACCATTCACAGCCACTTGCATAACTGTATCGTAGTACTACCTCAGAGTTTCATTCATAAGAGTTTGCCGTGTGCAAAAACTATTAAACCATTGGTCAGGGAAAGCTTTAATTAATTATTCATGTGCCAAAGTTGAAAGTTTAAACTAAGTCTAAACAGTATTTTAGTGATAAGGCAGGGAATGCGTTGCCTTATATAAACTATATAGTCATTGCGCATGACGGGATTGGTGGAATGAGATCACAGAATGTGGAGATGCAGTCCATGTTAAAAAATGACAAACCAAGTCGTACTTTAAAAATTCATAACTTTAAAACTACAACAGCTAAAAATATGATTTTGGTGTTATAATTCTTTAAAAAATTACATCTTTTCAACTATGCCATTGGTTTATTTTTACAAAAAGTTTAAATTTTCTTATCAAAGTCCCTACACTATTGGCCACTATTAGCGGTGCTGACTCTAGCCTCTGGTATGTACGGAATATTAAACATTAAACAAGCTCAACGCTCGAAACAATCGATTAATGTATCGTGATCGTGTGGAATTCGGGAAAGAGAATTACTTTTATTTCAGATTATGATCCGGTGAGTCACAAAATCTGGCAAATTCCGAAATCCGGTATATTCCGGAATCCGGTTGTTCCGGATACATGTAAATCCGGCGGATCCGGATTTCACCGGATAGTGCAAAATCCGGCGGAACCGGATTCCGGACCGGACTCCGGCACACCCCTAATTAGATTTGGAACAACTTTTTTGTCTGTGATGTTATTTTTTTTTAAAAATTTACTCGTTATGAAATAAATTGCCTGTAATAATATTGTTGTAGTATTTTTGTATGACAATGATCTTGTTAAAGAAAGGAAAGATACTTAAAAAAAACGAAAAAACTTATTCTATTTTCTAAATGTATGCTTGCTGCAAATGAGATTGTTCACTATGGAAATCACATAGAAGGAGCAAGACAATTGTTATGAATTAAGATCAGACTTCAAGGTAATTGAAAGTGGTTAAGGGTCAGGCAGAAATTTTTTTAATTTTAAGTTTTATTTTATATGTGGAAAACCTTTTCTTCTAATGTTTGATCTCATTTTTTCATATTCTTACTTTTAAGGTCCCTTAATGTAATTTTTTTTGGTCAAAATTAAAATAGGATTATGCTATAAATTATACAGCTTTGAGAGGGGTCTCTAACTTGTATATGGCTAAGCAACTAGTGTTACATATTGTATAAATTATAATAAAAGACAGCTGGTTACTTACTGAATGCAGATGTGTGGTCTTCAAAGATAGTTTTGTATGAAGTGCAGATATATTGAATGGAGGAGGATGGTTCACATGTCATCTGTCGCGCCCCAACGGTCCAAGGACTAAGGGACATGAGGATGAGGATATTGAATTTTTAAAATTAGGTCTTTATTTTGTTCAATTATTTTTGTATTGCATTCATATAAAACTTATTTTGGAGCAGTGGGGAATTTTCGATAACTACTCTCTTTCCATGACTGTGAACTAAATAATGCTTAATACTATGTCATTTGATTTCTATTTCAAATCAGCTTATGTTCATTTTTATAATGATAACAAACTCAAAACTTTTGGACTTTTGGTTACCAAATCTATAATATGATCCCTAATTAAGTCATTATTATCAGTAAAGGAGTTAAGTTTTTCTGGGTATATGATGGCTGATTTTTACACTATAGAAATACTTCAGATGTCTTGTACGGTATTTAAATTTTTCTAACTGTAAAATGTATCTTGGTTAAAATATCTATTTATTTATGTGCTGAAAATTGAAAATGAAAATAGTGTAACAGACCTGTTTACCTCAGACTCTAAACATCGTATAATATTATCACAAAATCGTTCAATACCTTAGATTTATAGAAAAAAATAAACATACAGTATACATGTTAACACCTCAAAATCGTACATTGTACGCCAAAATCGTAAGAGTAAACAGGTCTGGTGTAATAAAAAAACCATTTCCAATCATTGGCGTCAATAAAAAAAAATTCAGCCCAAATATAGACAAAAGACTCGATAATAATGAGTTATGTTAGTGTGTTTTGATCTTTTTGGCATCAAACCATCATCATGTGGCCTTTTGGGCAGGTTGAGACCCCAGGATGAGAAGATGACACATTCCTTGTATTAAACTAGAGTAATCATTACTAAGACTAGTTTTAAAAAAATCTTCTTTATATTTAGTAACCTCAATGTACCATACTCATGGCAACTGTAAATTTTGTAAATACACTAATTGGTTATTTGTCTATGACTTTGCAGAATTTATGCAATTACATATCCTTATTGACAGATGAATATTTATTGGCATAATTGGTCAGTTGATAAATTCAGCAACTGATTTGTTATTTGATGCTTCAAATTAGGGGCACAGTCACCTGCACTGATTTTAAAAAGTGTTTAGAGTTTTAGAGATAATTTTTTAAAATGGATTTGACTATAATGAATACTGGCTCACACTATAACAATGGCTGACCTATTTTATGATTCAAGCCATACAGAAAAATATGATTAATTCAGTTATGCGGGTAAATGTTAAAACCTCAATCCAGTAATAACAATCATAATGCTTTGATAATACATATCATATATTTAAGTATAATCTCTTTTTAAATGCCATGGCAAGGAATCAGTTTTATTATTTAACTAAAATGGATTGTTAGCTCCATAAGAGGTTAGCTGCAATGTCTGGGTTTTGCAAAGTAGCTTTGCATTTTTAACAGGTTAGGAGGAAAATGCAAGTGGATTTAAAAAAAGCAATTAATAGTATCAGTCTTAACATTAAGTCAGAAAAGAAGGCACTCAGCAACGAGACGTGAGATTTTTCTTTGCGTTTTTTATAAACTAGGTATCAGAAAGCTACATTAGCTATTCCCTAAATTTCCAGCCATACAAAATCAAAATAACATGTTTGATAATGTGTGTTATGTTGTTGTTTTGTTTTGTAAAGGATTACCTCATTGTGACAGTTTTAGTGTCTAGTCTTATCGCTATTAATATGTTCATTTAAAAAGGCTTTAAACAGATGTTTCATATAATGCATAATTTATCTTTAAATTATTCAATGAAGATTTCAATGCAGTCCTGATTCTATGTTTATGTTACAATGTGAACACGTTAAACCCAAGTAGCAATGTGAATGTAGTCAATTTAAACTTCAGCACTCAGATTGCTGCTCATTTTGTTGCCATACTCTCTATACTTTCTTAACAAAGATTCTTTAAGCCCTAAGAAATCAGAATGGAAATTTATTTTAGCAAAACAAGATTGCTATATTTATATTAGAGGTCAGTGAAAATCTAAAAGTACATTTCACTCTGAAACCCTCAGTACCAATACATTAATTAGCATTCATTTTAATATATTAATAAAAATCATACTTTTTATATAACCAGCAGATTCATAAATTAGGCATTTGATGTATGAACAATTTTCCCTGATATTTTGTTTGATATATTTTGAATAATCTCCCCATTTCTAGTCCTTATACATATACAAGAGTGTAGTGTTTATAGGGTTGAATGAGCCACTTTGTTAAATAATGACTTAAGAGACTTCCTGATACAAATTTTGTAGAAATGTTGTTTTTTAAAGATTTTTTTAAAGAACTTCATGGATGTTTATTTAATAAATAATTTAGTTTTTGAAGGAATTTGAACTTTTCATAAAAATAATGTTTGCCAATTCTATGAAGGAAAATGAAATGTCTCTTGTCCATTACACAAATAGGGCAGAAAGGCATGAACTCTTTTTCCCATTTCAAAAACTGGACACTTATAATAAATATGTAATATGATTATAACTGATATTTAATTAATAAGTCATACTCCAACAAAGAATATTAGGGCATTTTGTATTCACAATATAAATTAACAAATCAAGTTAACTAAATTGTGAACAAGTCAGCTATTAAAAAGGATAACATTAAACTCAAATCTTAAAAAAATAGTAACTGATTACTACTTATATTTTCAACAGTACAATAATATGGAAATACTAAGTGACCACGCTAAAATTTTTATTAATTTATTACAATTAAATGTCCAGGCACATTTACCACATGGATTTTTTTTTGTAAGCAGATCATAAACCAGGCTTCTTTAATCTCTGTCCAATTATGAAACTGGTAATTTTGCTCTGTATGTGAAATGGGGTAGTGAAGAAAGACAGTTTTATGGAATGGGCAAAAATTAGCTCATTACATGAAATTGTTGATTTCTCTGTCATATTGTGTTGACATAAATGCACTGTGTAAAATTGTTATTAAGTGTGCTGGAATGTATATACATGCTTATATTTGGCTAATATTTATTAAAATGAAAAATTTGACTTACATTAAGTTATGACAAAAGGCATGTTGCATTACAATATATGATCTGGTTGTGAAGTTCTCCCTCTCTCTTTTTTATATGAACTTCTTCATGCACATGTTAATTATGTCAAGATCAAAATTATTATGGTGCTATTTAAACTGTTTAAGTTTAAGGGAATAAAGAAGGCTGGTTTAACAATGAACAATATTTTTTCCTACCTTCCTGAAAAACACAGATAGAAAGCTTAGTCTAAAAAATCTTGACAAATAATTTTATGGAGGTGTGACTTTAGTTGTTAAATATATTATAACACAATAAATGTCCCATTTTCTATTAGGATTTTAATATTGTGTACAATTCTTATAAAAGATTTTTGATTTCCCCAACTAAAATTATACGCTCATGCCATCCTCTTCCATATATCAATTGCATAGATTCTCTACCTCAAACAACCTTCTGTAAGCAATTGGAGCCTCATTAAATAACTAGAATATACCATGAACAGATATTTACACATGCTTTTTTTAAAGATAAAATGTAAAAATAAATGATTTGAAAGCTAAGTATGTGGTCAATGTAGGAAAAAAAAATTATTATAGAAATATTTTCTTAGTTGTTTAACTTTAGAACAATACTTGCCATTTAACAGCTATCATTTAATTTGTCTTAGGTAGAAGAAAAAAATTATTTAATGAAATGTCTAAATTTGATTAAGTATAACTTGCATAATTTTGTATTTAAAATATAATCATGGACAAGGGCCTCATGATAGATTGTTGAATTGGGCTCAGTAACTGAAAAAAAAGGAATAATATTTTCATTTAAAGTGGTGACTTTGAATAAATACTGTGACTTAAACATTTTGTGTGTGTGTGTGAGGTGGGGAAAAAAAAGGCGGGGGGGGGGGGGATATTTTACAGAAATTTTGCCAGTCAGGATAGTTCAATAACTAACCAGAGAGCAAATCAAACTGTCACCCACTCAGCTCTACTTGAAATTTTACTTAAAGTTTTAAACTTAAATTTTACAGTAAATATTTGAACATAATGTAGATATAATTAATTATAAGTCAAAAGTTAAATTTGATAGTTAATATTTTTGAAATTTTTAAGTTGAAATAAATGTTATTATGGATTTTTTTAAATACATTAGCTAGGTAATTCTAAAGAAACAAGGGGGGAAAAAAGATGGAACACTATTAGCTTAACTCTTTGTAAATTTTTATTTGTTTGCTTTAATAGGACTTGGATGTTAACATATATTTTTTTCTGATGCTTCATTACTGTGATTTTCCAAATCTTTAGTTTTCCTTCTTCAGATCTACATGCATGTACAAACATATTTTTTGTATTACCATTTAGCTATATTTATACTGTAATGCAGTCAATGCACAGGTTTATTATTATATGGTGGCTTTGCTAACTGCACAAATACTAATGAAAAGGTTGAACATTTGAGCAAGTACAGAAGAGGTATAATTTGTTCCTACTTTATAAAATAAGAATTAAAAATTGTGTTCATGTTGAAAATGGAAAGGTGGTAATGAAGTTTAAAATACCAGAAAATTACATTTATTTTGAGTTTCCATTAATACAGCTTAAGAGATCATTTTATTCTCTAGCATTTATTCTACTCTTCTAGGCACAAACCTAGTTGTACGAATTAAGAATGACATGCTGTTTACACCACTATCAAATTAGAAGCCCTGTTATTAAGCCAAATCAAATGTTTCCATTAAATCAAAAGATTACTATACCAGAGTTGCTATTTAATTAACCTTTCAATTTTACTCAACTTATAACCGCTTTGTTTTATGACATAATTGTCTTGATCCTGAGAGCAATAATACTTACGCAGATTAGTATTGTTCAGATGTTTTATGCACTGTGAGATTAACCACGTCTACTGCCATATATGCAGCACACAGGTCTAACCACAGTTCCTTATTTAAAGATGCTTCCATCAATGTTCTCTTCACTTTAATTGGTCGACTTTTAGAACTGAACAAATGGAATCTCATTGTTTTGTATCCCGTTGTTGAAAATCAAATAAATTATTTTATTTTAACAGCAAAGTGGTTCTCAAACTTAGCGGTTGCAGCTCATTGATACCGCATAACAAATGGGCATGCACACAGCTAGATAATAAAATCAATTATTAAGAGTGATTTTTAAATCCAGATAATTTTCATAACAATTTATTTATAATTTATGTGATTCATTGAAAGAGACTCATTCGGAAAACACTTCTCTGTATTAGGACTACTCGTATTTTTTCACTATTATTATTTTCATTATATTAAATTTGATTTTAAAATTCAATGTATGTAGAACAATGCATATTATTGTATTAACCAAAATATAATCTTTGTCTTTCAGTGTCTTATGAAACTTATAGGTCAGTATATATATTTTGCAACTGTTGAATCTACAGAAACATATTTAAACAAGTTTAGATACATGATTTTCTTTCTTTTTTTAACAAAAATTACTCCCACTTGGCAACAGTTCAGGGACAGGCATTCCACCAGTTAATTAAATACAAGAAAAATATAGATAACAATTTTTGTGAAGATTGAGAAAATTTACATTTGAAATTGCTTCCCAGAAAAAGAAAACATTGTTTGGAAACCACTGGTCTTGTTTTTGTATATGTATCTATAAATGTATAGAAAAGACTATATTATAGTCTGATGGAAAGTTAAATGGTTTTACTTGGAATGTTTGCTGAACAGATTAAAATTAACTATTACTTTCTTTGGATCAGGCAAAAACTCATAATTGTGACAAAAATTGTAAATTGTGTATAATGTTAAATGAAGAACCTTTTGTGTTTGTGTGGCTGTCAACCTGTTGTAATCAACTGTTAATGAGCTGGCACAGTATAACCTTACGACCCTTGCTTCTGGTGATCCACTTGAAATATGCTTGTTAGCCATACATTCATTGTCATTTATCTGACTACTGCCACATGAAAGTTAAGCCACAATGATTATATTCAAAAATTGTACTGATCATAATTTAAGCAGGCCCATGTAACCCATGATTACTATGGGTTAGTGCCGCCACGGGGAAAGCCAAGCTTTTTGCTGCCCCCTGTTCCACCAAATAACTCTACAGTTGGCCAAAAATGCAGCCCCTCCATATAAAAACAAAAAAGTGCCACCCGGCGGCAGGCCATCCCTTCCACACACCGCTTCATACCACACTGCCAGCAACATCATCTTCAATAATCTGTCTGCTTTCATTCTTTAGCATATATTTTATGGTGTGCCTTGGCAATTCATTTAAGCTTAGTGTTATGGCTAGCAGACTAAGTTCACTTTTGTTTAAACTAAGGAGGATAGAGGGAGGAAAATAAATGTTTAGTTGAATCCAAAAGGAAATAAGTCAAATAGAAATAATTGTTTGACCCTAGAATTAAACCGCAAGCCACTTGACAAGACAGTTAAGTTACCACGTTTGTATGTGGGGGGGGGGGCTGAAGGGATAAGTGAACATATTTTATGCCATACATACTGAATGTGTGACTTCCATTTGTTTCTATGCATATGCGAGTTGAAGTATAACTGTTGTCCTTAGGTGGCACCTTTATATCGTGGGGGTGGGGGGTCTGAAGGGATAAGTGAACATATTTTATGCCATACATACTGAATGTGTGACTTCCATTTGTTTCTATGCATATGCGAGTTGAAGTATAACTGTTGTCCAATTACGTTTTGGCTGTGTGACATGTTTGTAGGTATGGGAATATGGTTTCTTTCTTTGTTATTTTAAATTAAAAGTTCCAACTGTGTCATGAATTTATAATCAAATCTACCTTCTTGTGTTTCATTCATTTATTCACGAATAAGTCATTGCCACTCATAGGGGAATTTGTGTTATTTTATAAATTATGTGACTTATACATGGGATACGTCCAACTGAAATGTGTACACTTTTGAAAATGGGCACCGCACAAAATTTGTTTGAATGGCATCACTGTGTCATGGACAGCGATAAAGCTCGGGCCCAGTGGCAAAGCTATGCTAAGTGCCAATCGGGTAGGGTACGGGTCAATATTTTTGCCGTCTCACCACGAAACATTTTTGCAGTTAGTAAAAAATCCCCCCCCCCCCCACAATAAATAGAGAGAAAAAATGTCGCTCGGGGCGGAGCGCGCCCCCCTCCACCTCCCCGAAGATAGATTCGTGAGTCCGGTCGCATACTTTTGAGCCATGTGGTCCAAAAAAATTAGATTTTGAACATTTAGAAGCGGGGTCATCTATAAATGACTGCACTCGTCTTATTTTAAAAAGTGGAGTGGCGTCACGAATGTGTCTGAATTTCGTTGCAAAGTTCTGACGATTGAAAAGCGTGTGGAGGGGTTGTGTAAAAAATCTAACTAAATAGCTTGCTGTCATGTATAGTTATAGATGGCTTCTGCTGGCAAAAGCGAAAAAGGAGACTCTGGATTGATTTCAGTTTGGAAGAAAACTTCATTTTACTTTTTGCAATTAATTCAAAATAACGTAAATAACAGGAATTTAATCTTGGAAATGACTATGACTATGTTCTTGACGATTTTACTAATACTATCACATTGGGAGAGGGGATAAATACTATAATTTTTTCACTGTCTTAAAATACCCAATGACACCCGTCACATAATGTCATTCAATCGGGGTACATCGCCTTTCCTGTTCGCAAGTATATCATGTATACATAATTTTTTTTTATTAATATTTCTTTTTGAAGGAAGATTGGCAATTAAGATCTTGACGGGACAACTTTAGTTTTAGATACGCCAGTGACATAAAGCGTTGATGGCTACGATTACTATGAAACTAAAAAATAAGTGTTTTTTTTGTTGTTTTTTTTAAGTGAAGGCTTAAAGCTACGCATGCGCAAATTGCATACTATTGCCACGTATTGTTAAGTACACGAAAGTAATATTGTCTGATTGTGTCAAAAAACAACCATTTATCTGTTGGGTCGGCTACATACATTGTCCAACCCTGGCAAATCAATTCAAAGGTTAAGGCCTTTTCCTCGAGGTCATGCTTTTACCTTTGACCTATATGTAGCTACCGTAGGTCGTAATAATCGTAACTCAAGTTGTTTATCTCGGACGAGGGTGAAGCGACAAGGGTTTGTTTGTAATAGCTGAAGTAACATTCAGAGCTATAAAAGCACCAGCTCATCAACTTTCTGGCAATATAAAATACAAAGCCGCATTGTCGCAGGGTTACATACACATGCGTTAAGTCAGTTCACAGCTCAGCAGACACGACGTAGTAGTAGTAAGTACTGAAGCTCATTTTTTACTCACCACCAAGGCCACATCCTTGCATAGGCCAGGCCTGTACTGTCATAATTGTATTTCCTAATAAAATTACAATATGAATTTTGGCTAATTTGGAGAGATAGTAGCCTAACGTCATTTGCGTGTTGTAACCCTGGTTCCGATAGGGTCAAAACCATGGTTCTGTTAGGGTCATAACCTAGGTTGGGGATAAGTTTAGGGTTCAGGTTTAGGTTTAGGAATACATTTGATTTAGGACTTTATTAGGACAAGATGGCCGCGGTACTATCTCTCCAAATTTATCCATTCTTTAACTTTAATTAAATTTTAAAATCCTTAATATTAACTTTGCGTTTGTTCGTGGCTGTGTTGTCAAATCTTCAAATAGCTAATTGACCCACTTAACTTCCAGTCAACCTATCTATCGAGCTTTAATGTTGCACATAGACGCGTTGCCGATGACAACACATTCTATCAAATTTTCAGCTCCACCCTCAAAAATCAGTTTTTCAAGGGGAAGATGAAGTTAATATGATGACACTAATTTCACGAAATAAAATTCCTAATAAATGCCCTAAATGAGATTCAATAGAAAAAAATATGGGATAGAAAAAATATTGCAAGTGCTTTTGGTGCATAATAATTTCTTTTGATTTCCTGAAATGGGGAAATAAATTTGCGGTGTCAAAGCTGGTGGATTGCTAGAATGTTAATATATTTCAGGGGTGTGAAGAAAAAAAGTGCGGTTGGGGTGGAGGGCGCACTAATTGAATTGGGATTCTCATTAAGTGCGTTAGTTGTATGGTTGTTTTGTAAAATTTTCATTCCCCCCCCCCCCCCCCATATAAAGGATTTATAAGAAAAACTTTATTATTAAGGGTTGTTGAATATTTCGTCTTCATAATAAAATTGTTCATCATCTCTGTTAATTTACTGTCAACTCTTCATTTACACTGGTTGCAGACCTTGTATGAAGCCTTGATGAAATTGCATACTAAATTAAACATAAGTCCCAAAAAAATATAATTTTTATTCTATATTGTTTACAGCCCAAAATAGACACTTCACAGGAGTGGATATAACATGTCAGGAGTAGACAAGACAAAACGAATAGGACGATGGTATTTTGGAGGTACTGCTAGTGCTATGGCTGCCTGCTGCACTCATCCTTTAGACCTTTTGAAGGTATGCTAGGGATTAGTTTCTGTACAAGAAGTCTTTTTTTTCCTACAAAAATTTATTTAACACATGTATAGAATTTATCTAAATAGTGACCCAGTGTGTGTGAAAACTTAACATTATGTTTCTTGTTTTACACAATTATTAATTATATTTTTGTTTCAAGACTGTTCATGACTTATGCTTACATTTCTTCTACCTCTTAATATCTGCTTATACTTTCATTACTCTTAGAGCTGACATCCTCTCACGGTGCCCTCTCATCAATAGTCACCCTTATTAAATCATTTCTACTATGGTAGCATCTTTGTATAATTGGTATTTGGTTCTTGATTGGTGGGGAAAAAATTTATTAAATAGTAACTAGTATTAAAAGTATGTTCATGTGTGCAAGTGAGACTTGGACCATCATCAAGAAAGCAGAAAATGGGATGGAAATAAGTCCTCAGAAAATTGATGGACCTTTATGGTTTAGAGCCCGTATCCCCAACCTGAGGTGCTTTCACCCCCATGGGGTGCGAGATAGCATTTCAGTGGATGAGGGGAAAAGGGGGACATTAGCTTTTAAGCTTTGATACAAATGACATGTTATACATTTCTGAACATTTATTTATCATTTTCTTTCATGTAATAAGTCACACATTTATTTTCTACAGTTAGAAGTCATCATTCAGATTCAGTGACCTTTGGGCATTAGCCTTTCGGCCTGAAGTAAATTATTTTCAAAATTTAAAATGCACTGTTACTTTTTTAGGAGGTGCGAGTCTTAGTAAAATGATTCGTAGCGCGTGCAAGACTAGTAAAATAATTTGCAGGGGGTGCGGAGAATGAAAAGTTTAGGAAACACTGGTTTAGAGGGTTCCTCTTCCTACTGTTTTTTAAAGGCTAGATTATGCATAGGTAACTTGTGCAACACAAACTATATATGTTCCTTGTATATGGGACTACAAGGATGTGATTCATGTTTTATATATGCTAATTTGTAATTGTAATAATGGATGTTAAGTGATGAAAGCACAGAAATAAACATGTCTACCTTCTTATGAACCTCGTAATATATTATGTTATACCTGGTACTATTATTTTCTTCATGTGAAACAATCCTTTTGCCCTTTCTCTGCTGAAGTTGGATGCTTTTTTTTTTAATCCCCTACTTTAAAGGAAGTATTAAATACTAGGTAAAGACAAGGCACATTCATATATCAATATGTTTAATAGTACCATATCATTGATCTTATGATATTTGCTCTTCATTTCATAGGTACATTTACAAACCCAACAAGGAGGAAAAATAACTTTACTACAGATGGCTGCCAAAGTTGTGAAAAATGATGGAATATTAGGACTTTATAATGGCCTTTCAGCTTCAGTTTGCAGACAGGTTAAGTTTCTTGTTTCAACTTCAAAAAAAAAAAATAATAATAATTTGTAAAACAGATGCATTTCACTTGATAGGGTGACAATCAGCAAAAACAATAAGTAATTGTATTTTGATTTGCTGAGTGCCTCACTTAATGTATTCATAAAATATAAGGGTGATTCCATTTCAAGTGGTGGGAAAATAATGACTTAAAAAACCATGCGCTAAAATTCTTTCTAGAAATACTAGAAATAAATAAATTGAGCTACACATTTTTTACCATAGTTGCTCACCTATTGTCATTTTGTCATGTAGGATGTGCCCTGGTTTCATTTTTTTAAATTTCATCCAGATCCGTAGTGTCGTGTGCTCTAGCATATCTACACAACTGGCCACGACGCCTGCCATTGAGTGTTAAAATGTTGTTGGCCTCTTTTGAATGGAAATCCACTTTCTTAACCCACAAACAAATAATTTAGTTTGAGATGATCTTCATTTTACTATATTTCTTTTCTATTATTTTTTGGGGAATTAAATAAATTTTAAAAAAATATCCTTTTGTAGTTAACCTATTCAATGACGCGGTTTGCCATTTATGAGACTGTAAAGAAAGAATTGACAAGGGATGGACGAAACATGCCATTTTATGAAAAGGTTGGGCTAGCAGCTTTTGCAGGGGCTTCAGGTGGCTTTGTTGGAACTCCTGCAGATTTGATCAATGTCAGGTAAGTAAATGTGTTTCATCAGTCCTATTTAAAAAAAAAATGATTGTGTTACATTTACTCTCTTCTTGATGATTAATTAATGTTACAGTAAATAACTGAGAATTTAAAAAAAAATTTAAATCATTAAACTCAGTGACATGCATTTCCAAAATTTTTCTCAGGTCCAAAAATTGTAATTCAATAAATTCATAATTAAAAAATGTTTTTAAAAAAAAAATTGTATTCAGCTGGAAAGGAAATTTGATTAAAATTTCAAAAAATTGAATAGTTACAAAGCCAGGAAATCTTTTTAATTTAAATTACAATTTTGTTTAAAAAAAAATTAAACTATTTAAAATTTAACAATATATTGCAGAATGCAAAATGATGTGAAGCTGCCAAAATCAGAAAGAAGAAAGTAAGTATCTCTTAAAGTCAGGTCTGCCCTCCCATTTGACTTTGTCAATAACTGAACAATAAGATTAAAGTTAAATTATCTCAGAGCAAATTAAATGTGTAATCTATACAATTTTCTTCAATATGTGAAAATAAAAAACCTGGTCTGAGAAAGAACTGACTAAAAGCAGAGATGAACACTTTCAGGGCTAGGACTAAAAATACATTTCTCAACAAAGAAGCAGTGCACATATTATATGTAACACAAAAGTATGACATTTTTTACCCACCCCCTAACACTTGTATAACATTTCCATTTATCACCATTTAATATTATATAAAATTTCTAGCAACACACAAAGACACAGACCCCTGTTAATATGTTAAAACCAAATAAAGTCCAAAAACAAGCCAAAACAAGCACAATTCAAGCATAAAGCCAGAAATAATTTGTTACCAGTACGAAAATGTGCTAATTGTAAGCAAAAATTAAATTCTGTTTTTACTAGCCAATATACCAGGCAGTTCCTGGGTTTGCATTAAGAAAAGAACTTCAACATCCTTTTAGCTCACATTGAAATCTAGGGTCCTGTAAAAAAAACTTTGTTAAAGTAAAAAAAAGTCATCAAATTTTAATTGAGGGCCCCTGTCCCCAAACGAAATTTTATAAAAAAAAGTTCAAAGCCATCCAGTACTTGATTCTGGATAATGATAGTTATATATGCCAAGTTTGGTCAAGATCAATCAATCCATGGAAAAAAGTATGTGGAACAAACAAACTCACTAATTTCCACTTATATATATGTACTAACCAGTATACCCGACATGGCCTGTGATTGCATTTGGAAAGAAAAAAACAACTTTTATAGTTTGTAGCTAACGTCAAAATTAAGTGGCCTTTAAAAAACACATCGCTAAGAAAAAAATTATAATTTTAACATTTTCTCCTCTGAAAAACACATTTATAAAAATTTTCTGTTTGGATCCCAATCCTCAGTGGATCCTTTCCCTGTTTTAATCCTATTTCCAGGATGTGATCCAGATCCTGATCCCAATGGGATCCTAATATCTCAATCCAATTAAATCTAGATCCCAATTAAATCCAAATCCAGATGGGAGTCTATTCCAGATGAATAAATCCTGATTGGATCTCAATCCTGGTGGGATCCCTTTCCCGATGGAATCCGAAGTCCATTGGGATCCAGATTCGGGGGAGGTGTCCCTATAGAAAGTGCGTACCCGGTACATTATTCAAAAACTCTACAATATTCATCATGGAATTCCAAAAGTGTCATATTGATATCACGAATGCTGTAAATTTATTGCGCAAAGTTTTGTAGCAGTTACCGTAATAATGTTGCCATGTATTTTGACAAATGAATTTGCTAGATATACTTAGATAGTACTAAGTAGTAGAAGTATTACGGTAATATTTAGTCCAACGTGCGTGTGAGTTGTGACTTATATTGTATTGGGCATGCAAGTGCTTCTAAAATGTTTGTTTCCCGGCACCTATGCCAAATTCAGGTTTTCAGCAGTGAGATCATGTTCCCAGTGAGACTCAGATCTCATTCATGCTAGGATCTATTCTCTGTTTTGATACTGTGGGATCACATTTGCAGAATTTGATCCCGATTCCTGTTGAGATCCTATTCCTCAATGGGATCACGTTCCTGGGGGGATCTTGTTTTCCGGTGGGATTATGAAGGGTATTTTTAATAACTTTGGTCAAGATCCATTAATACACACAGCAGCGTATATTCCGTAATTTAAGCCTTCAACTTCATTTATGTATAAAGCTTAAGCCATAATACATATAATGGACTATTCTTATTCAATCACATTTGAGGAAACACATTGAACGTTAATGAAACATAATAAACATGATAAGGGCATTTATTTAAAACATCCCCTACAGAAAGGGGTGGAGCTAACTTTTTTTTTAATTTGAAAATTTATGGGGTTTTTTAGTTAAGAATTAAAATTATTATTATAATGAAAAGGATTTAATTTATACAAATTAAAGTTTTAAATATAATTATCAGTGTTTTAATACAAAATTTGTTTTTAAATTAATGCGACCGAGACGAGTTTACGGCATCCATTTTGTTCGTTTGTCATGACTCGAATCTAGCTAGCTGCTTTAATAAAAGATAATTTTAAAATCCAAAATGAGTTTAGAAAACACTGAAATTAACTTAGAAGAATCTCTAAGTGACTCTTCCGATAATTGGAGTGCAGAGGAATATGAAACAACATCAGATGAAGAAATGGATTTTTACCTACAAAAGTACAGTGTCAAACAATGTAAGTCTAGGTATCCACATGATTAGGCCAATGAAATTAAAATTTCTAAATAATCTGAACAACAAAATGTGTTGTGCAATTTAATAATAATACCCTAGTTATAGCCCAACAATTTGGTAAGATAATTTTATTTTCCAATCCTGTTTTGGCTTTAAAAATAAAAATAAATGTGTTTGTTTACATAATCAGCTGATCAAAGAGCTGATCTTAGTTTTCATTGTTGTTGTTTTTGTGTTTTGCTAAACTTTAATGGAAGTTTTTAATTTATTCTTTTTAAAATATGTTATTTGGGATTTAATTCATATAGCCTTACTTATATTTAAATTTTGTTTCTCTAATCATTGCAGATAATACATTGCCAATTGATATGGACTTGGAAAAAAACATATGAAGATGTTGACCAGGGACCCCCTCGAGCCATACCTAAATTTATCCCTTGAAAGAAAACCTTATCTCAATATTCTTGATTCTGAAAAGCTGTCAACAAGAAATGAGTTTCAAAAGCTAAAAACCCCAGGTAACGAATATTTGATATTATAATTGCAGTAGTATTGAATAGGCATAGGCCTAGTATTTTATGCTTGATGATTATTTTTACAAAAGTGTAACTTTTCTTATTCTAAAATTTATATAATAATTTATGTTGTTACAATTCTTTAACTATCGTTATATCTGTTAAAATCCAGATTTTATATCATGCTAATCTGCAATTTACAAATAAATTATTTATTGTCCGCAGGAAATTTCTGCAAACTCTTTTTCTGTCAGGAGATCACGTTGAAAATTCATGACTACATCAAGGCTTATGCCAACCATATCAGAAAAGAAACTAAATTATCTCTGCACTAAGTGGAAGAAATTAACACTTACAGAACTCTACATTTGTTTTTCTTTATTTATGTACATAAGCCTAATTCCATGCTGAGGTGTTACTGTCTCAAAAAGAAAACATGTCAGACTGTAATGGATATTAAATGTTTGAAATTTGATAAACATTTACATCTACGTGAAATAATTGTTGATTGTTAAAACATCCTCTAAGCTTAGAGGACTCTTAGACTGTGTTTGTATTTGTTTAAGCCTGATTAAGTTTATGTAAGCTCTAGCATTATTATTATTATTTTTCTGTTCATTGAATATTTGTTAAAATTTCAATAATTAAAAAAAAAATTATTCAAATTAGTTGTTATAATGTATTTAAATGTATTTGTATTAAATATGAACTATAAAATATTTTGTAAAAAGGTTTTAAACTTTGTATTTGAATAATTCTGCATAATAAGATTACTTGTCTACATTTAACACACAAAAAAACACTATTTACACATGTTTCAAAAAGAAAATTATTTTTAAAAAAAACAACAGTTGTATTTGTAAAATAATTTTTTTTTTTTTTTTAAATTTGTATATTATATTACAGAATTAATACCAATATATTTTAAACTATTTCTTCCAAGAGTTCTTTTTTTCCTGCTTACAGTATGTTGTTTGTGTAAAAAAAACATTTTGTAAAATACAATCATTTTTACTCTTTAATCATGATTGTAAGAAAACACTTTCCCAAGAACTTTTCTCTCCCATGTGTTTAATAGGTTTTCTGATGAATTTTTGGGGGGTCCAAATTTCACTTGCATAGTTTAGAACTGGTCTGATTACTTTTATATATATAGTTTTCTTTGCTTTTCTTTTAATGTTTTTACATTTGAATATTTCCTGACTGCTGAAGTACCCTGTTTCCGGCCGATATTCTTTCTTTTATTTCTGTTAGTGATTCATTTCTTTCATTTAATAAAGATCCTAGGTATTTGAATTGATTCACTTTATCAAAAGTATGATTTCTAATTGTAATTATTTCATCCGTCTGCTTTTCTCTTATCATAATCATGTTGTTTTCTAGTTGTTAACTTCCAGCCCTGCTTGTAATGATGGATCTTCTAACTCAATCAAGGCTTTTGATATGTCTTTACTATTTTTCCCTAACAGTGCTATGTCACCAGCATATGCAGAATACTGAAGAGGTTGATTGTAGAGAGCCCCTTTTGGTTGTGGGTCTTGCGTTTCCCTCAGAAAGTATCCTGTTATTGTTCCTCGGGTGTCAAAATGTATACTTCTTATAACTCTCTCTAATGTTGGGTTAAATAGCTTACAAGACAGTGAGGCTGTCTAAGGCCTTGTCTAATCTGAAATTCCCTTGTCTATTGTCCCTGAACCTTGATTTTTCTTTTTGAGTTAATGTTTTACATGTATCAGTCTTGTCCGTTTGTTGAGTATGCCAAGCGCCTGCAAAGTCTCATATAGAAATTTCCTTTTGAAGTTGTCATTGGTAATTTAAAGTCCACATAGAGTTGATATACTGGGATATTATATTTTTAACATTTCTCTAAAAGGCATCTAATGGTGAAAATCTGATCAGTCATTGATCTGTTTTATCTAAATGCACGTTGGTAATCACCTAATATTTGTTCAGTGTACGGTTGTAGTCTTTTAGCAATTAGTTTTGTCTGTATTTTGTATCTAACATTTAATAGGGAGATTGAAGTTTGCAACCTTTCTTCTGTATTGGGGTTATTAGTGCTGTTTCCATTCTATTGGATTTTTCTCTTCTTACCAAATTGTTGTTATAAAGTTTGTGTGTCTGTTTACTTCTGGTTTTTCATCGAATTGATTACTTCTGTAATTTCTTCCAAAGTTAGGGGTTTATTAAAGGGTTTTATTCTCCATGTGGTGGCTAATAATCTTCATCTTTTCCATTGTCTGCGTTTAGTATGCCCAGCTCTCCTTAATTAGTTCTCCATCTTGGCTCTCACACATTGAGGTCTGGCTTGGTATCCATTATTTTTGTCATTTATCTTCATGTACATTATTCTGATATTTCCCTCACTTGATAAGTCTTCTATTTCTTTTAGTTAAGCTTTTTCCCATTCCCTTTTTTTCTTCCTACACATTTTTGTGGCTTTCCTTCTGGCTTCATTGTATGTTTGTCTTGTTTTTCTGGTTTTCTTTTGTATCAGGGTCATTTGTGTGTTGTTCCTTTCTTCTACAGTATTTTATTACTAATGGTCACTTAAGTTATAATCAATGGCTGACATGAAAAAAAAACTAACCAAAATCATTTTTCATTAGTACAAGAAGTTTTTGTACATTTGGAAAGAAAACTTTTATTATTTCAATAACCTAAAGATTTTAAGCAATTTTTAATTTAACATTATTGGTTGTTAGATTATTTATTATAATAAAAACTTATTCCTTTGAATGATTACAGTTACAAACATGCCATAGATGGTTTGTATAAGGTTGTTCGTTTTGAAGGACCTCTAAAAGCATTTAGTGGAGCCACAATGGCCAGCACAAGGGCCGTGCTTGTCACAGTAGGACAACTTGCCTGTTATGATCAGTTAAAAAATTTGCTTCTTAAAAGTGGATTCTTTGGTGATAATTTATATCTTCACTTGACATCTAGTACTCTTGCGGTAAGTTTATTCATTTTACATTTTTTTAAAACCTTTTACTTAGCTAAGAGGGGGACTTTTGGGTTAACTCTTAAACATATGTTTTTTTCTGCAGAGACACAAAAGTTGGTTAAGAACAAGGGACAGTCGGAGAAATTTGTGTCTAGGGTTTTCATATTTTAACTGAAAAACTTCTAAATTTTTAAGAACTATATTTACTATATTTATACTGAACCTTACTCGCAGAAGACAACTTACTAAAAAATGTTTTAAAATGTACACTTAAAAAAACTGTAAACGTGAACTTTTACAATAATCACTATTTAAAGTGACTTTGATCGTTTTGTTATCTATTTTTTTTTTTATATTCTCGATAGGGTATGATTGCAACTTTGCTGACACAACCCCTTGATGTAATGAAAACTAGAATGATGAATGCTCCTCCTGGATACTATAAAGTAAGCTTTGTTTATTAATTATTTAAAAGTAGTATTTTATGAGATACCGGTACTTCTAGGATGCATTTTCCCATCGCCTGTTTAGTTGCAATTTACTTTAAAAAATGTCTAATTATCAAAATTAAAGTTTTATTATAAAAAACCTTTACATACAGAATCCTTTTTTAATAATGTACTTAAGACATGAATACCATGTCACTAGACCGAAAAGATACTAATTTTAAAAACTTAAAAAATAGAGAATTGTGAGCATCAGTGTAATGCTTTCAAAGTCATAAGTCAGACTCAAAATTTTCATCAATGTTCCTTCCATGATGTTGGCATGCTGAAAAAAATAGGGGCGTGCTGTAAATTTAGTAAAGAACTAATATTACGTATTTACTATATTTACTAATTTTTTGTTATTTCACTTTATTTTACAAATAATTAAAGCCCTGGTGTGGCATACCGACCCTTATTTAGGTCTCATTTTAAAAAAATCGAATTCAAATTAGTGATCTCAAATCTTAACTAAAAATAAAAGATTAGTCAACATTTTAAGGGACACATATATTACAACTAGATCTAGCATTTCTCCTGTTGCTCTCCCATTAAGTGTGAAACGATGAAAAACTATTTCAGATATGTGGCAAAATGCATCCATGCATATGGAATTTTTTTTTTTATTTGGGAGGGGCTTTCCCCCTCCTCATTTTTTGCTCGGGCATCATCAGTTGGAGCCTTAGTTTTTTTCTCCCGTACCCTGATGTTCAAAATAAAACTTACCCACACTTTTTTATCTAATGTATTTATTTAAAAGAATTTTTTCTCAATTAAAATCTATATGCTTACAAATTATTTATGTGTAGCGGCAGGTGTATGTATAAATGTTATCATTTGAGAGTTGTGTGCATTAACAAAAACAAATAAAATTGTGTACATCATTTTTCTGTGCATAATATTATTTTATATATCTAATGACACGTGGACCCTTTCCATTTTTTCAAAATACTGAGCAAAAAAAATTCTTGGTGCTTAGCTCCTCCAAAAATTAAAGGGAACATTGGTCCCCATCTACATTTTCTTTTCTTTTTCAATCCATCATGTTATCTGTAATCTACCAACAATAACCCATGAATTCATCAGTCTATCTAATTTTATCATAATCCATCATTTTATTCCCCTTGGTCTATTCTGATTATCAAATTCATTTACATGAAATGAGTTAAACATTTGTTATTAATAAAGCAAAGAAAAGATATAGTGGTTAAATTTCCCAGATCAAAAGAATGCTAGTTATTTGTAAAATAAATAATAATTATTTTCAATTTAAAATGTTTTGGAATATTGAAGTATACTGTTGCTGTGACACACCATTCAAGTGTTTTACTATCGACCATTTCTAATTTATAAAAAAATTGTGACCATAAAACTTGTGACTTGCTCTGAAAAATCAATTTTATCACTAAGCACTATATTTTAATTTCAATATTTTTACATTAATTTATAATTTAATCTTTGTTTTCCAGAGTATAATGGCTTGTGCTGTTGACATAAGCAAAAATGGTCCAATAGGTTTTTTTAAGGTAGGATAAAACTTTAAAAACAAGAAAGTAATTTTTAGGGATTACATTTAAAATTTAAGTGAAATGATTCCATGTTTAAGAACGTCCAGGATAAAAATTTTGCATAATATCACTTCATTAAAATGAGGCAAACCTGCAAAACTTCTTCAATGGCTGGAGCTAATTTCAGAGAATCATTAATTAGACTTCAATACCCCTCCCAATTAACTCTTAAGGACAGCTATCCATCATGTCACGGACTCTAAAACTACAACATGGGTCACTGTAAGACATGCTAATGTGTTGGAAAATTTTGTTTCCTCATGGGCATGGGCTTTTTGAGTTACATTTTCTTTTATCTTAATTTTATCATATCACCAGTAAATGGCTGTAGAAAACATTATATTATTAAGATGGGGAATTTTCTAATGAACCATTTCTATGAACACTAAAACCATGCTTAATCTCTTTTAATGAAAGCAACTCAGATATTCTCAATCCATGCAATTAAATTTCAGAAGCATAGCAGAAAAGAATTATAACTATGTAATTTCGAAACAGAATTAATCATATGATAAAATTATAGTGAAATCTGCATTGGATGTTACTTGTATTTTGTGTCCTTTTCTTTTATGCCTGTCGATATTTATCTCTGTTCATTGTCAGTTTAAAAAAATGCTTTTGTGTTTTGCCTGTTAGTTTCGTAGTTTCGTTAATATTTCTAGTTTATTTCTTTATGAAGTAAACTACTAAGTAACTTTCATTATCTAATTAAAATATAATATTAAGATTTATATTTTTTCTTTGATTAAGGCAATTTGAAAGCTATTTTTTTTAAACTCTGTAATTTCTAACTTTTAAAAACTACGAGATTTAAAAAATAATAATGAACTTCTAAATATTTTTATTTACTTTTTTCTCGACAGGGTTTTGTTCCGGCATTTGTCAGACTGGGTCCTCATACTGTTTTAACGTTTGTTTTCTTTGAGCAAATTAGACTTAACTTTGGAGATGATCCAGCTTAACTTGCCTCAATGACTTTGTTAGATCTCTTTATGCAATTTATATAACATTTACTAACAGGAAATTAGCCAGGAATATTATCTGAGTATTAACCTTATGTGGTTCTTCTGAGGCTTTAATTTATAGGATATTTAAATTCAACTTAATGTTATTTGTTAATTATTTTATTTTTTGTGCAGTTGAGATGATCATTTATTTATAATGATCTATTAATTTAATCTCACATAAGAATCTCTTATTGTAGATATCAATAAAGGGAAATCTTTCATCTGCAGAATAAATCACTGTAAAGATTATTTAAATTACAATAGAATTTTGACTGAAGTCATGTTGTAAAATACATTATGGAAAACTGATTTTTTAAATTAAAATGGATTAAGAAATTCTGTTCCTAAAATTTTTCAAAATAATAGACTATTGCATAAAATCTTGTTAAGTAATATTTTTACATTGACACAATCATTGACATTTTGGATATTCTGCAGTCTTTGATGAAACACTGAGAAATTGAAGCAAAATTTGTTTAATTAAAATTTTTAGACTCATCATTCTAAATAAAGTGGAAATTCAAGCATTAGCTTAGTGCCAGATCACCCATGGTGCTACTACTACTAGTGCACTTTCGCAGTGCCTACCAGGTACCTTAAAAAATTGAAATTAAAGGCATACTCATGTATTCCAACTCGTGTAGTTATTACTTATGTCTTGAACTATTGATAAAATGAAAAACGGTCCAAATACAACTGAATAATCCTTGGGTGTCATGCCAGTTAATTTTTTTGGTAGTAATAAGGTCTATTTAAAAATAAATATTGCATCGTTAATCTGGAACTCCATGAATTAAATTTTTAAATAAAAACTAAAGTGCCTCTTAAAAATATTAATTTTATGTCATTGCAAATTTATGAACTGATTTTAAAATAAAGTTTAACAGCTAGCCAGCTTATGGTAAATTACTTGTAAGCAGAGCTTATCAAGATAAATTTATTGACTGCTTGTTTTTTTTTTTAACATTCCTGGTGAAGTAAAATTTTTCAATAATTTGAAGGGGAAAAAATGCTTCTTTATTACTGCAGCTTTTATGTTTTAAATTCATTATTTTATTGTAATATACATTTATACATTGAATTAAATATAATATTTCATGTAGTCTTTCATTACAATTTTTTAGAATGTTGTACCGGTTCATATTTTATTAAAGAAAATACAAATGCCATTAAATTTAGCAATTTTGTTTATTTTTTTCCTCTTCAATGAACATTATTTTTGCAAGACATTATTTTACCTTTTTATTTACATACTGGTAACTATTAAGCAACATAAAATTAAAAACCTTATGAATACACAAAATATAATTTCAAATAGATTAGTATGTTGTATAGCTATTGTTAGACCAATTTTAGTTTTTAACCCTGTGACCTCAATATATGTGATTTTTATAAATGGTAGTATTATAGTATTTTATAGTATTATAATTAAAATGATCTTTTATTAACTAATTTAACTGTGTGATCTGATTGCTAAATGCAAATCAATACTTCTTTCATTAGGAAAGCTTCATCATACAACTTTATATTTGGAATTGGAATGTCTGCTGTGAAGCAGTACATTATGCTTTGTTTGTAAGTGATGTAAAGTGTTATAAGTTATATGGGTTCCTTCAACCAAAATAATGCACTATTATGTGCCAAGAAAGTGAAATAATTATGTGTAAAATGTGTATTTGCTATTGTCAGGTGCATGTGATGTCTATTTCTATTTTCATGTTTCAAAATAAAATGTATATTGAAGGCATTAAGAATGATTTTAGATGCTAACAAGATTTTGTTTTTAGGTAAAAACTCAAAATTCTTCTTCTCTCAAATTTAAAAGTGAATTTGTTATACAAGAAATTAAGGTTGCTTTGGTTTAAATTAAAGAACTTGTTTCATATAAACACATATTGATATTTAATTTTTATTTACAATAGCTGTCAATTTGTAAATATTGTTTAAGTCACTTCTTAAAGTTAAAAAATTAATTTCTTTAAGTTAAAAACTGGACTTCAATCATCACGTTCAAGGATAGACGAAGTAAATATTTAATTTTCAACTCTGACACTGGTATTTGTCTTGACACTTGATCTTTTATTACTGCAGGTTTTTAGTAGGATGTCCATTTGGATTTGTTGAATCTTAATTCCTTTTCATTGTGATTTGGGAATCATATTGCATTAAAGATAACCTCCTCAATGCATGTAAAGAGCAATAACTTATTAAATTAAGTATATTTCATGTGTACTAATGAAGGTCAACAAAACCCAAGGTAACATGAAAAAATATTGAGTGGAAATTAATAAACACATTATCACAAAAACATAGCTAAATTTTGTCATTTATAACTGATACCAGTAACACATCTGCATGTTCGGGCACTATTTTTCTGGAAGTTTATTGTGGTGAACAATGAAAGGGATTCATGTGAATGTTATATGATCAAGACTATTTCAAGTTATTTTCTAACGCACAGACCTGTATTGGTAATCGATAATCACAATTACAAATAATATATAAAATTATATTTTATTTAAGTTACTCTGTCCAGCTTTCCTATTCTACTCTTTCCAGCTTTCCTATTCTTTAAGGATACAATTATTATGTAAACTAAAACAAAAACTATATGGCCCCATAATCATAAGAACAAGGAACTATCAGATTCAATACAGACTAAAATAAATAATTCAGGCAAAGACTTGAGAACATTTATCTACTAATACTACTAGATGTGTTGGTTTATCAGCCTACATGTCAAAAGGAAATTGATCCTCTCCAAATTACTTATTTTAATGTTATGGTTGCCATGCATTAATAATTGAAAGAACAAAGTTCTAATGATTTATTCTACATCTGATTGGTTGAAATTTTTGTCCCAAAATTCAAATAAAGGTGACATTAGATTGTTAATGTCATCTGTGACATGCTTTTAAATTTTAAAGGTCAATATCGTTTTGCAGATAGAAAATGGTAAAGGAAAAAACAATATTTTGAAGATTATTATACTTTCAAAAAGCTAGGCATGGTTTAGACACACTAATTTAATTTTCAAATATTTGTCATCTCTGAACATACCTTTCTTCAAAGCAATGAACATAACATAGTACTAGTACAGTGATCGCAAGTGTACAGTCTTTGTTTTAGATTTAACTTATTTAAGGTAAAAACTGGCTCTTCCAAAGAAATTACTAACGTTTCCTAATAGTATCAAAGGAACACATCCCAACCAAAAATAGAACAAAGACTTGATTAAAATTCTTGAATGTTTATTTACATGAAAACTGTGGTCTTAGAAAACAATATTAACATCACTTAAGAAGGTTGATTTTTTTTAAAAATGATACATGCAATTTTTTTAATTGTATTAATTTAGAAAAAAAAGCACTGAGAAAAATTAGCTCTGCTGGCCCATGAAATTTCTCTTATACTTGCCCATTAAAAAAAACAAACATTAAAATTATTTGTAAAACACTACAAAACTACAGCACAAACAAATGATGGAATGATAAACAATTTGAAAATGCTGTCACATATAGAAAAAATTCATTAAACAATAATTTGATTTGTTTATTTATTTTTTTTGCAGCAAACAAAATGCCATTAAAAAAACTCACTACCAAAAATCCCCTAAAATAATTGTAAAAAATGCCACTAAAAAATTAAAGCAGGTCATTTAAGGTAAGTTTTAGAAACAACACACTTAACAAGACACATTGTAACAGATATGCTTCTATAGTTGGATAGAATTTGAATGTGTCTCTTGCTCCATTATACAAGGAATAAGAAACATCACCTGAAATTTTAAAAAGGATTATTGGAAGAAAAAAAATAACAACAGATTCTTTACATAGGCTCTAACTAGAAAGTAAAAAAATATTTAAATTTTGGGAAGGGAGGTGAGGAAATATTACAAATATTTTTTAAATCCATTTTGTCATTTAAAATAACAAGTAACTCTTACTCTTAGTGAATGTTATCTCATTTACCTTTAACAGTGGGCATGGAGTAAAATCTTAACATAAGTATTCATTTTAGTGTAATTTATCAAATATTGTTTCATTGTTAACTCATCTGTCAAGTGCATTTTTCTTAAGTGTCAAGCCATATTTTTAGCATGTTCAAATACTTGGCAAAATGACAAAAATTCCTTACTAAATGAATTAAGAGACCCTTACAAGTATGCATTTTCTGAAAGTACATTGGACAAGTATCTAATGGTATGAAAAGTATTTTTTGAAATATTATGTATGTTGACATTAACCTTAATCTTTACAGAGTGAATAAAATTTTACTACACAACTCCTGAATTCAAACCAACCTAATACTCCATAAATTGTTCACACTATCATAAAATCAATTTTTTGAGTTACTAGAAGTAATAATCTTTCAGAAAATAGCAAGTTATAGGTACTTATATTGAAAATTGTAACATTGGTGAATTTTTTCATTATCTCAAAATTTCTGTCATACAATATACAAGGGAAATTGCACAGAATGAGTTCAAAAATTCCTTTTCAACTAAAGTTATTAAAAAATTCCTTTTCAACTGGTTTTTCAATCCATTTTTAAAAATGTTTTAATGCTCCAGAACATACACTAACATAAATGTCTTTGAATCTCTTCCGGGTAGGTGATCCAATCTTTGTCTCTTCTGTTTGATTTTCACCCTTTCCCAAATGAATTAGTCTGTAACAATATGACTAAGCTTAGCGCTAAAATTGTCTATGTCTGACTCTTATGTTGCCAACAATGCTAGAGCTAATACTGTCATTACTAGCATGTGGAACATCTATGAAATCATTGCTTTCATTTTCATTCATTTGAGATAGTTCCAATGAAGGAAGTCTGTGTTAACTTTGTAATCTAAAGGGGGAACCTCTCTATCATCAGATTTGGCGGTCAAAAAAAATTCAGCAAATTTCGCACCCAATTAATCACACAAAAAAGAGCCCTGATAAAAGCAAGCTAACAAAAAGATAGAAACGTAAATAGGAAGCAAACTCATATATATAAGGTTATTTCCCCATAACCAATAAACATTCAATCATTCCCATTTTAATGATGATTTTGCTAGCAGCTGATTATATCAGAAAAGGGTTTAACGGCTTATAATCCGCCCTTATGACAGTTACAGGGCTAATGAAAAAAACAGAGAGGTAAAATGTAGATAAAAATTATGGTTACAAGATGACACAGAAAGTTTGCTATTATGTATTAAGTTTTCTATGTGTTTAGCTAGCTGCCCATTGGCTACTTAAGTTGTCATTTTAAATTGATTGCGCATACCTTAACTTTTAAGACGTGCCACTTGGATATTGAGCAAAGTTGTAAGCTGTGGTAAGATTGGCCTGTTGTGCTGTCCCATAAGCTGGAGTCTCTTGGGTACTGTATGCTCCATAAGTGGCACCGACACTGTCCGCAAAAAATAATAATTTAAAATTATTGAATATAATTTCAGTTTCAATGCTTAAACATTTAACAGTAGTATTTTGTTTTCAGCTGTTAAATTCTATGATGAAGAGTGGATTGTCATATGAATATTTAATTGGTTTAACAGTTTTAAAAGCACATCTATGAAATGATACTTGCTAATACTTTGGTTTTCCTAAAGTGTAAGCTTTTCTTTTCGTCCAATATATTTATTAGCTACATCGGGCAATATACTTTTAACACATACTTACTCTTGAACGCTGGTAGTTCCCTGGCCAGTCCCATAAAATGCCTGGTTGGTATAAGCTGCATCAGTTGAGTAATTGGGGGTGTTTGCTGTGGCAGTGTTTATACTCTGGTTGTTATAAGTGTACCCTCCCACCTGTGTAGCTATGTTCCCAGCTGTGGCTTGCTGGGCATAGGCCTGACTGTAATCTGGTTGACTCGTTTGGGCCACATTAGAAGCTGCAGCAGTGTAGTCGGTCTGACCCCAGTAGCCTTCGTTTGCATTTCCAGTAGTGGCTGGGTATCCTGTTGTCTGTTGCTGATTGGGATATGCCTGCTGCCCCCAAGCACTCTGGTCATAGCTTGCCTGTTGGGCCACATAGTCTCCTGGTTGGCTTGTGTAACTAGCCTGTTGGGCTGACTGAGTACTGTATCCAGTCTGGGCGGTCTGCTGTGTTGCATAATCAGTTTGTTGAGGCACTGCTACATTATTCTGCGGGGTGACATAGCTGCCTTGCTGATTATATGTGGCTGGTTGAGTGTAGCTTGCCTGTGGAGGGTAGCTAGTCTGAGAGCTGGTGTAACTAGTTTGATTTCCATAACCAGATGGTTGGTTGCCATAGTTGTTAGAGAAACCAAAACCTCCCTGATTATTTCCATACCCCTGGCCTCCACCATAACTTTGTTGGTTATTTCCAAATCCTCCTTGTACGTAAGTATTGTTTCCTGTGTTGCCAAAAGTTTTACCCCTCCCTCTATTGTCAAATCCGCCTCTTCCTCTGCCATCTTGTCCACTAGCTCCCCTTCCTCTATTATCAAAACGTGTGGCTCCTCCTCCGCCTCCTCTACCCTGGTTATCAAATCTGCCAGCCCCTCTTCCTCGACTGTCAAAATTTGACCCTCCCCTAGACTGGCCTTCAAAGCGACTGGCCCCTCTTCCAATATTTTCGAATGAGCCCACTCTTCCAGGAGGTTCAAAGTGTCCTCCCCTTCCCTTGGAATCAAAGCGACTCCCTCCTCTCCTTTGGCCATCAAATCTATCTCCCGCCCTTCCAGGATGTTCAAAATGACTAACTGGTCCTGGAGGTTCATAGCGACCTCCAGGGGGTTCAAAATGACCCCCTCCTTGAATATCAAACTGTCCACTTCTTGCTAGGGGATCAAAGGGCACACCACCACGAGGAATATCTCTTCCATCAAATCTACCACCTCTACCGAATCTATCCACATGGCTTTCACCAAATCTACTCCCCATTCCCCTATCATCAAATCTACCACCACCACCTGGAAATTTTCCACCCCTTCCCCCACCAAAATGACCCCCCCGCACTGGATTATCAAATCTGCCACCTCTGCCACCAGGATCAGGGCGCCCTCCATCTCGCCTGTCCCTACCACCACTTCTGTCTCTTCTATCAAGAATTCTCTCTCTGCTGTGCCTTGAATCTTCTGATTGGCTGCTCCGGTCAGAAATTTTCCTATCTCTATCAGGCCGTTCTCTTTTCCTGTCTTTCCTTCCTATTTCTCTAGATCTGCCTGGTAATAAAGGTGTGTCCATAAGACTGGGTATGACACCAACAGTCACTGACTGCAATAAGGCCAGCTGGGATTGTATCTTTTCATTCATCTCTAACTGCATCTTCAAAACATCTGCAC